CCCCCATCTCTAGTCTTCTATTTTAATTAATCACTTTGTTCCCTTTGGTAACATTTAGTTTCACCTGACATGAGTGTATTGTAGCCTGTTGATGGTCTGCTTGAGTTCTTAATTACACATGAGAGTTTGGCTTAAATAAACAAAATATTTTATTGAGGGACCACCGATAATAGATATGAAAGGAAAGGTGGGTTTTAAGTTATGAAGGATATTTTACATCAGTAAAATATAGAAGTATTGTTTCTGTAATTCAGGATCAAAATGACTTCTTTACAAACCCTTGATTTTCTGACACAGAGACCTTAATAAACCTCAGCATAGACCGTTTTTCCTGATGGATCTAAAACAGACTTCTTTCTCTTTATGTCTTTCAGTTCTGTCTCCTACACATTATATTCCAATCATGTTAGCCAATCATAGTTTAGACATTCAACTGCCAATCATACTAGCACTCCACCCATACACTTCATCTATACAGTACAGTAAGACTCCTATATCTGCAGGATCAGTATCCATTGACTCACATCCATGATCTGAAAATATTAAAAATATCAAAAGAAAAACCCAATAAATATATATTTCTAACAACGCCATTACTAGAACCAGCCATAAAAGGAGCCAGAGACCATGCAATGTATAGTGTTCACTATTTTAATAGAGTTTGCTATAATCCATGTTTTTCAGCATCTCCAGAGGCGCTTGGAACCAGTCCCTCACAGATATGTGGGTCCGACTGTACAGGCCTGCAAAGCTATTCCCATACATACCTGCTATTGTTAATTATAAATACTTACAAACATGGACGTTTAAAAAGAGCCCAATCATCACATTAATCAGATAAGTCATGAGCTGATTTCTCCTGCAAACCTGTTTTTTTTTTCCTTCAGCATTCACTTTAGAAAGAAGAAACTTCTCTTAGATTGAATGTAGTGGATGCTCTTCTATCTCACCCCAGCTGCCATAAAAGCGTTTATTCTATCTTCAGCTTTTGTTTCGATACTGAAGTGAATAGTCATATAAAAATGTATACTACGTGAGAGGCACCTGTATTGTACTTTATCTAAAACCGGTTTTAAATAGAAGGCAAGCATATGATTTATGTCAGTGGTTCTTAACCTTTGTTAATCGGATGCTTTTGAACTGCAACTCCCAGAAACCCCAGTCAGGACAGCTGGTGGTGAAGGCTTCTGGGAGTTGCAGTCCCAAACTCCTGAGTAACCCAAGGTTAAGAACCAGTGATTTATGTGGAAGTATTACCAGTCTAATTGAAAATCTTCATTTGTAAGTACAGTGCTGCCTCAACTTATGAACGGCCCTACTTAACGACCATTTTGAGTTACGACCAGCTCCGGCTGCAAAATTTTGCTTCTACTTGCACCTGGACCTTCCAGTTATGAAATGAAAAGGCAGGGAAAAAAGGTGGGAAATTCAAATTTCTAACTGTAGGTGGCAACGAGGCTGCTTCTTTGTAGCACTTTCGCCCCAGCAGTTAGCAGTGTGCCTTGGAGGAGGCTTGGGACTTCCTCCTTCTGCTTCCGAGTGAGCGTGTGTGTGTGTTTTCAGGGAAGCTTTGGGCTGCCTGGTAAGGAAAGGTGCTGTTTTCTGCTTTTTAAAAACTGTTCTGGGTGTTTTTGCAGCATAGTTTTGAGCTGGGGGTTATGTTTCTGTGCTATGATGGGTCATGGGGGCTTGTTTTTTGGGTTCTCCCCCCATTTCTGATGGGTCTTGGGGATTTTTGTTGCTTTTTGGGCTTTTTTCCCAATTTCTGATGGATCTTGGGGGGTTTGTTTGTTTGTTGGCTTCCCCCCCATTTCTGATGGGTCTTGGGGGTTGGTTGTTTTTTGGGGGGTTCCCCATTTCCGATGGGTCTTTGGTTTGTTGGTTGGTTGGCTTTCCCCCCATTTCCAATGGGTCTTGGGGGGTTTGGTTGCTTTGTGGGTTATTTCTCCCATTTCCAATAGGTTTGGGATGCTTCCCTTGCTTCTTCCTTTGTTTTCTTTGCATTTCTGACCTGCCCACTTTGTTCTCTGTGCATTTCCAATGGGTCTTGCATGCTTGATTGCTTTTCCTCTCCCCTCCCCCCTTTGGCCAGAAGGGATTAATTGCATTTCCAATGCGTCTTGCAGTGGGTTTTTTTGCTGATTTTTTTTCTTCAACCAGAACGGATTAATCACATTTCAGTGCATTCCTATGGGAAATGGTGCTTCGACTTACAACCACTTCGAGTTATGTCCATCTTCTGGAACGGGTTATGATCGTAAGTCAAGGCACCACTGTATATATGCAAGCAGAGATGAAAAATAATTAATGGACATTTTTAGAGGCCTTCCTCTGGATACTTCCAAAGTTTGGCAGATGGCTTCAAGGAGCAATAGCCATCACTGTTGTAGTGCCCTATTTGTGGAATGTTCATCCTAAGCATGCTCACCTGGCACTTACTCTGTTACCTTTTCTATTTCAGGAAAAACCTTTCTGTATACTTGGTCATTTTCAATTTTTTTTTAATTTTGTGGGTAGTATATGCATTTTTCTGTGATCTTTGTTCTTCTTGTGTGACAACAAGAATGCATTGTAACTTCAGTATTTTCATTGTTTTAATTCTACAATCATGGTCAAACATATTGGCACCCTTGCAATTCTGTCAGAAAATGCAACCCTACTCTCAGAAAATTGTTCAATTCTGGACAATTCTGGTTTTGCCCTGAATAAAACATAACAAAGTGTCTTGGAAGAATTCATTGGCAAAATTCAAATACATAATAAAATGAAACAGTAACCTGCTTACTTTAGTCTTTATTAATTTATAAGTTGCTTAAGCAGAGGAGTGAGGCTAAAACAGTGGCTGAAATTCTGTCGTTTAGCATAGTAAGGCACAACTAGAGCAGGCCTATTTGACTATAGAACATATATAGGAGTTGACACACCAAATTCTCACTCAACAGACCTAATTCTAGTTCCTAATTACTATGCTGAGCAACAGGATTTCAGCCAATATGTCCCTGCAGGACAAATAGCAGAATGAATTTTCAGTACATTTGGGCCTTGACAGTGTTAAAAACCCACTCACTGAGAATAATGTCATATGAGTAGTAAAATACTTAGTAAATACCTTTTTAAACTTAGTACAGTGGTGCCTCGCTTAACGGGCACCCCGTTTAACGATGAATCCGCATAGCAATGACTTTTTTGTGATTGCTTTTGCGATTGCATTGCGATGTTGCCTATGGGGAAAAATCACTTTGCGATTTTTCCCCATAGCCCCATTTGCCCCAGCTGACCAGTGGGGGCTTGGGAAAGACCGCGGGGGAGCCCCCCCCGTGGTCCTTCCAAAGCCACCACCGCTCAGCTGGGCAAAAATGCCGGCGGTGGCTTGGGAAGGACCGCGGGGGAACCCACCCCCGCGGTTCTCCCAAAGGCCCCATTTTCGCACAGCTGATCAGCGGTTCCAAAATGGCTGCCTACTGTGTTGCCTCGCTTTAGAGGCACCGAAAATGGCCGCCCCTATGGAGGATCTTCGCATAACGGTGAGTTTTCCCCCCATAGGAACGCATTCAACAGGGTTTAATGTGTTCCTACGGGGTTTTTTGCCCTGTATAGCGACGAATCCGGATAGCGACGATTTATCCGGAATGGATTATCGTCGCTATGTAGGGCACCATTGTATGCTGTTCTCAGGGACAGTGATCCACTCATGTGGCCAAGTAATGTGATGAATTAGCATTTTAGAAATTTCCCATTGAATCCCAAGTTGCTGTAGGTATTTTTATTTGTTTTGTACTTGCAGCACACAAAATGCTTCCTCTAGCTTCGCTGCCAGTAATCACTCCCACAGGCATCCCAGTGGTATGGAAGGTGTGGCAAATTGTTTTAAAGGCTGGCCCCTCAATTGCAGGCAAAAAGAACTATGGAAATGTTCAGTTTCAGTCTAAGAGATGTAATATTTTGAATTTTTTTATTATGGATAAGGGCATAACTAAAATAAGCAGAGTAAGTATATTAGAAAAGCTGATATTCTGTTCTTTTTGAGTAATCAGAATAATATGAGCTGCAATAATGTAACTAAAAAGTAAAAAAGAGGAAAAATTATATTATGGTTGTTGTAATTGTTGTGTGGAATCATAAAACGTCCAGATTTATTTAAAAATCAAAAATTTCCCCACCCATTTTCCTTTCCGTATTCCCTACTCTTTTTGAGAAAATAAAAAAGTGTAAAAACAACAAGAAGATATACAATAGTATGAAGTATCTTGGCTTTGGTCTCCATTGACACATGTTTAGCTTACACTCGATGATCTTCTGTAATCCCTTGTTCCTTCCTGGTCTTAGTCTTCTGATTTCTTAGCTACAATCTCCATTGGGATTGAGGATTTTAAAAATGTATATACAGTCTTCGTTGTCAATATCAAAGTTATGCAGTTCTTCTATCATCATTTTATCTCTTTTTAATGATCACCTATAATCCTGCTTTTGCACTAATTATTAATTGTCATTAACAATTTGAACTCTTTCTTCCCTCTATCTAGGTAGGCCTTTCTCTTGACTAACAGAACTGCCTTTTTGCATTCTTCCCTGATAGTAGCTTTTGATTTTAATCCACCATTCTGATTCACAGTCAATTTAGTAAAGCAGAATTGTTCTTTATGCAAACTTTAAATTTGTGAGAAATGTTATTAACATTGTATATTGGCACTGTGATTCTTTTGGTGTTTTTTTTTTCACTTTACTCTAATTTTTTATACTAACAATTTATGGTTAGGACTACAGTCTGCTCTTGAGCTTGTTCAGTCTTTGGCTGCCTAAACCATGCATTTGCAGTAGACAGATAGTTGGCTTCAGAGAATTTTATGAGGTGTTGTTCTTTATTTCCAACTCGTAGGCTAGCTTCTCCAGCAATTAGTACTGCTTTGTGTATGAAATTGTTCACTTGGAATGCTTTTAATTCCGATAAATTTTAACTTTCTTCATATTTATGATTGCTTATGTTTTCTGTCTCATTACAGACAAGAAAATGATAGATGAACATGCTAATTTTGGACTTTGGGAGGATGGCAGAGGAGGAGAAGAAGAGCTTTCACCTGAAGAAATCCAAATGGTAAACTGATATTCTATTAGTTGACCTTTTTCTTCTAGCTGACCATGCCTTGCCACTGTTGAATGTGTAATAAGTAAGGGGGAGATAATGTTGCCATCCAAGGTTATTGTGGCTGCTTATTGTGACAGCTCCCTAAGGCCTCATAAAATAATCAATGGTATAACAACAACCATATTTATTTTATGGTCACAGATCTGATAAATAATTGATGTCTAGTAAAACCCTCAAATATATTTTCAAAAAACCTAATAAATATCAGGAGGAATATTAGGTTAAAAAATAAAAAATAAAGAAGACAAAAACATTAAAGACTAACCACTATATTTTAATGTGAGGATGTGAACTTGTCCACAAATGCTCACATTAAAAAATAACAAATAGCCTTTAACGTCCCACAATGTTTTTGTCTTTTTTTTCTTGCTGCCTGATATGCCAACACAGACTGACATGGCGACCTCTTCTAAAGGAAATGCAGTCCTCAGCTAGTAATGCAAGATAAAAGAATTTAGTGACCTACTTTGGCCTGACTCTCAACTCAAATAAGTTATAAAGTGCTCTACAGTGGTACTAAAACAAGGTAGAGCAGGAAATTGGGAATTTTCTGCAGTTGATTGTTGAGATGACAGTTCAGTTGCACAAAAATAAATTCACCAGGAATCTTTCTTTCCTTTCTTTCAGAGCATTGCATAAATTAAAATTATGGACATACAGTGATGCCTCGCAAGACGAAAAAAATTCATTCTGTGAGTCGTTTCGTATTGCGAAAATGTCATCTTGCGAAGTGCTGTTTCCCACAGGAATGCATTGAAATTTAATTAATGTGTTCCTATGGGCGAAAAAAGTCAGAACAAAGTCAAATTTGGTTTACAAAATGTTTATTAAGTGCTCTTTAAAGGCATACATGCTGTACAAAAGATTTCAAACATTTCAAGCACAAAACTTCAACTTTTTAAACATCATAGTAAAACATTTAAAAATCAGCAAACATGAGGCTGAACCATCTGACACGAGGCTGAACACTGAAACTGAACAAAAACAGTCACAAACAGTCCTTGGAATGTGCAAAACTCTTCAGAAAGTACAGTGGTGCCTCACTAGACAGTTACCCCGCATGACAGTTTTTCTGCTAGACATTGACTTAACCAAACAGTTATTCCTATGCGGGAATTTCGCTGGACAATGTTTGGTCCCTGCTTCGCTTTTTGCTAGATGACGATTTTGACATTTCTCTCCGCGCTCACAAAACGGGTGTTTTCGTGTCTTAAGCTTCGCAAGACAGCTATTTAAACAGCTGATCGGCGGTTCGCAAAGCGGCTTTCCTATGGCCAATCTTTGCTAGACAACAACGATTCTTCACCATTGGAATGCATTAAACAGGTTTCAATGCATTCCAATGGGGAAATGCTTTTTGCTAGACGATGATTTCGCTAAATAGCAATTTCAGTGGAACAGATTATCATCATCTAGCGAGGCACAACTGTACATTTTTAAGGCATGTAAACAGGGACATCATACAGACACCAATACAGAAACGTTTTAAAATCACCAAAGGACTCTCTAAGGCTCTAGGGGACACTTTTACGCAAACATATTAAGGTGACCAAGTGAGGCTGAACCTACAGGGCCAGTCTTTTAAGTCAGGAAACTGGAGGCAGACGGAACTGTCTCCACATCACAGCAGCAGTCGTTTATGTTCCCAGAGCTGCAGAGGGTCTCTTTGGGGATGGCCCGAACGCTGGTCATCTGGGAGAAGGCTTTAAGACTTGACTTCAAGGCTTCTAGGAGGACGAGGAGGAGAAAGAAGGCAAATGGGCACCACTGGTAGAAGCAGCAGGTTCCTCTTCCTCTCTTTGCTTCTTCATGATGAACCTCTCCATAGTCTGCTGCTTCTGCCGCCTTTTCAACACCTCTCTGAAAGATGACATGATCCTTGTATCAAATGTGTTTGCAAGGTCATGTGCCAGAGCCTTGTCTGGGTGGTGCCGCTGTGCATAAGTTTGCACGTTTTTTCACTGTTGGCAGATGTCCTTCAGTTTCGTGGAGGTCAGCTGTTCCTCACTTGTCGCTTCTTCCTCTTCCGAAGAGGCCTGCTCCTGTGTAGCCTCTGCCTCCAGTTTGACCAGCTCCTGGGTGGACAGCTCCTGGTTGTGGTCCTCCAGCAGCTCACAGATGTCCTCCTCTGTGAGTTCAAGGCCCATGGTCCTCCCCAAGGAAACAATGTCCCCCAGCACTGTTGATTCTGGTGCAGGTGCAGAAGCATTAGAGTCACTTGTTGCCACACAATCTGGCCACAGGTTGCGCCAAGCAGAATTCAGATTTTTCTGGCTGATCCCATCCCATTTTCATGCAACTGACAACGTCGAAGTGGTCTCTCCAGAATTCATTCAGGGTGTGTTTGGTGCAGTCGGTCACCTAGAAGCAACACCTGAAAAGCTCCTTGGTGTAGCGTTTTTTGAAATTCACGATGACCTATTGATCCATTGGCTGGAGTACTGGGGTGATGTTAGGTGGCAGGAAAATGATTTTTATGAAGCGGAAATCCTCGAACAAGTCTTCCTCAAGGCCTGGAGGATGAACAGGAGCATTGTCCATCAGAAACACAGCCTTCAGCGGCAGGTCATTGTCCAGCAGGTACTGCTTGACAGTAGGGCCAAAAGCCAGATTGACCCAGTTCACAAACAGGACGCATGTGACCTGTTAGCGTTGGATCGCCACAACACACTCAGCTGGCCTTTGTTAACCTTGTGCTTCTTGAAGAATCATGGGCTTGTGACCAAGCAGCTTGGTCTCCTCTTGAGTAAGGAAGGTCCTTTTGGGCATCCTCTGCCAAAACAGCCCAGTCTCGTTGCAGTTGAAGACCTGCTGTGGAAGGTAGCCCTGTGTAGTCACAACCTCCAGGAACTTCATGGCAAAGTCCTCAGCCACAGGAACATCGGAACTGGCAGCCTCTCCATGCCTGACCACGCTGTGGATTCCAGATCTGGTTTGGAATCTTTCAGACCGGCCTCTGCTTGCCTTGAAGACTTCTGGCTTGGCTGAGGTTCCTGGCTCTTGCTGTACGAGCTCTGCATGCAAGGCCTTGGCCTTCTCACAAATGACAGCCTCAGTCACTGTGTCCCCTGCATGCTGCTTCTCTTCCATCCAGATGAGCAGCAACTTCTCCACCTCCTCCAGAACATCTGGCTGATTCTTCACGATCCTGGTGACTCCCTTGGCTACACTTGTCGCAAGGATCTTCTCCCTCATCTTCACGATGGTCCCGATCGTGGATGGATTCCTCTGGTACTCCCTGGCAAGGCCTGTCACTCGCATGCCTCCGTTGGTGCTTCCTGATGACCTCCTTCATCATTTCTAGCGTCATCTTCTCCTTTGTCCTCTTCCCGGCCTCTGCAGGAGCAGCCTTCTTGGGACCCATGTCAGCACAGTTGCTATGTTCGCAAAAACAAAAGGCAGTGCTTCACATCCGCTTCACACACACCTTCCCACCCATGGCCAAACCTGCCCTGGACAAACAAGTGGCATAACAGCCCCCCCAACACAGAGAACAAATGCATATGGTAAAGCTAAGCTCCCTACCTCCCAACTGCTCAGAACAGTTGACCAAAGACACGGTGCGCCCACAGCACAGGCCACATTTGCTCCTTGAAGTAAATCCTGGAATTGCACATGGAGATGTGAGCTCAGGCTGCATTGGGGAGGCTTTTTAAACCTCCAGGCACAATGCATCCTGGGTATTAATGGTTGTGCGATTTAAAACAAACCAAAACAAAAAAGCAAAAAAATCATCTTGCGAAGCACAGCCATAGAAAAATTTGTCTTGCGAGTCACCAAAAATAATCACAAAACGCTGAGTCACCAAAAAAAATCACAAAACGCTTTGTAAGTTTTTTGTTGCGCGAGGCATTTGTCTTGCGAGGCATCACTGTATATGAAATATAGGTAAAACTAAAAATAAAATTTTAAGATAATTCAACTATTTTTGACCTAAAGCCTTCATGAGTAGCATTATCCCTATTTAGTAGATCTTCTTTCGTACATGTGTGTGTGGGGGGGGTTAAATTGCATGCATATAAGTGCTGCATTGATTGGGCATTTCTACAGTGTTACGGTCAGCCAGAGCATTAACTGTCCATCACAGCTGGGAGGGAAAATCTCAGCCAATGAGAGGGCGGAGGGTGGTGCAGAGGCGGGGGGAGCTGTGCTATATAAAGTGTGTGTGAGGTGTGAGTGGGGCAGATATAAGAGAGGGAATGAGAGATAGCAGATAGATGAGAGTTGAGTGTCTGAGCTGCGAGTTAAAGTAATCTTAGTGTCAGTGAGAAAGAGTCTGTGATAGCTAGTGCCTGAGAAACAGTGATTGATTTATTATTTATTTAACAGTGATTTACCATTCCTTTCTTTTTGTATTCAATAAACCAAGTTTTTATTTTCAAAAGTTATACTGGCCTGCTGCATGATTCTTTAAGGAATGGTTGGTGGCAGTAAAGAAGAGTGAAGGGTTTTAAAGTGACGTGATGACCTCCCTTTGTGAGTCTTGAGGGAGGCCGTCACAGCATGTTTTCCTTCCAGTGTCTAATCACAAAATAAAGAAGATAATTTCCAAGTTGGGGAAGGTGAGAGTGATTTACACTGTGACAGACGTCGTTT